TCAGTTAGAAAATAGAATAGGGAATAAAGAAATAGAATTTGAAAAACTTATACTCGTGATGATTGTTACAAGAAACATGTGACACTTATTTACAAAACTAGGTGACCTAAGACCTTTATCGGGAGTTAGCCAAAGGTAACTAATGGCATTAAGATGGCTTATTCAGTTGTAAATTGTCTAATTAATATGTTGTAAATTCCTAACTTGTCCAGACTTGTCTCATCAGTTATCATTGATGGAAAAAGTTAGATCAAACAATCCTTTTATATAGTTTGTGCAAATTTACAAAGTTTGAAGATAACTTCATGAATTGACTTCACTTATAAGGTAGTTGAAATCAAGCAAGTCTTGAATAGTTATTTTCTCCGTGGAAGTTTACAGATTGGAATTTAAAGTTTATGTTATTCAGTCAACAAAGTCGAATAGTTTTTAATTTCAAATTCAATCAATTTTTAATATGGAGCTACCGTTATCAATGTTAATTGATGACATATTGGCCGGCTTCAAACTTTCCTGGCTCAATAGATCAGGAGTTGAAGAAACGCAGAACAACCATGATGCATAATATTTCGCGTTTTAATAACTTTCAACTTTATATTTTACGAAATGGAAAGCTATGCAAAACATGGAAGGGATGAATAGCTTTATGGTTCTCGCTTGAAAGCCGTCCATACTGTTCACGAACTAACTGTTTAGGACTCTGAAGTCATTATTTCAATCTAATGTTAGATTATCAGTATGTAAAACACCTGTTAAACACTTATCAGTATCTAATGATTTCAGTTTGTGATAAAAGTTACTGTCAGATTGTTCAAAGCCAAAAAAGAGATGTATTCAATAGGTTTCGCCGTCTACTAGATCTAACTTTTTTTAGTCTACAGCGTATGTCATCAGCATACTTCGCCTCCTGCTTTTACTACTAAGTTTTCTGTTAATCTTCAGTAACGTAAATATATTTCCAAAGTGACTGCGTCTGAGTAATTATCCAAAACTCTTTTCAACATTTAAGTTTTTGTATTGTTTGTTTGAATCTTCTTAAACAATACAAAAATGAATTAAAACTTTATCCTATTGAGTAATCTTGTGGCTACCTGGACTTAGTAGATAAATGGTAGTGTAATCGTTTTGAAGCGAATGGTACTGGCTTCGAGTCCCAGAGTGAACACCAAATCTGGATTGCAGGTACATCCAACCGATGAGTTCAACATAGGACGAAACGCGAGTCTTGGATTTCACTGTTAGCCACCATCCATCTCTGCTTTTAATATCGCTTACAATTTAGAAGTTTTATTAAACTAATAATCCTAAAATTTAAAAATCAAAAATAAGCAAATCATGTGTTGTGATCATACATAATTAGATCAATGGATAGTTGTACAAAATATATTTATATGATTGTATACCGACTTTTTTGTCCAAATGTTAATTATACAGATATGAATGTAATTTAAATTACAGCTGTTCCCCGTGTATTTTTCGAAAAAGTTTAACTGTGGCCACGGTGGGATTAATAACTAATATTTCGTCTTATATATATATATATATATATATATATATATATATATATATATATATATATATATATATATATATATATATATATATATATATATTAATAGTTGGATTCGTGAGCCGATGTAAGATAGACCACCATGAAAAACCCGAAAGGACTGGATGGCCGTTTCGTCCTAGTGTGGGGTTCCTCAGCAGAGCGATCGCTTAGCCTATAGGCCACTAAGCTGGCATCCAACGGTGTTAATGTCTATCTTCAATCAACCCATGATATTGAGCGATCCTTCATCCATTATCTGAGGTAAATATCTGTCTCTACCCGACACGGATTGAACTCTACTGGTAACGGCTTCTCAATAAAACTCCAGGAAATCCATCTTGAAGCCATTTACTAGTGAGCATATATATATATGTATATATATAGTGTGATTTGATAAATTTTCAGTTGGTGAGATATTTGATTCATTGAAATATTACTTTAAATAAGGTTTATTAAGTTTTATATATTTATAAAAATATGCAAACGGTTTATATCACTTCTTTAATAGGATCATCAATAAATACTGTTATAGAAGTGCTGTAGCAGTAAGAAGAAATTGATTACAACTTATTAATACTTTAGTGTAAATTACAAGTTAACCTTTACTAAAATTAAAACTAATGATTTATGACATCATTATTTTAAAAATAAACCTAAGGATTTAATGCTTTGATCTGAACACTTAGCTACCTACTGAAATGATGCAGTTTTTCTAATGACCATTTTAAATTCATCAGTCATATCTTTTAGTGATGCTAAGTTCTCTGAACTGGATTATTCGATTGAAGACCTTTGATTGTTATTCTGAAGATCATCATCATAATTCATTCGTTCAGAACGTCAGTAACTGTTACACAGTTAGAATTTTTATCTTCAGATAGTGAAATACAGGGGTGAACATCTTAATTCGACTAAAATATGCTATCCACCATCTCAGGTTGATCTGTTTTGCTTTGATTAACAGCTTAGAGAAAATTCCTATATTCATTTTAATTGTGACAAACTAACCTATTTATACCAAAATAATTACCATAATTCGACTATGCATTTATATCCATTAATTCCACAATAATAATATCATTTGAATGTTACAATCCGTCTTCAACTTTTTGAGAATGGATAGTTGGATGGTAGCTAACAGATGAATCTAGAACAGGAGAGTCGTCCTATTTTGGGATTTGCCGGTTAGGTGTATTCCTATGGTTGATGCACATGCATAGATTGAAACTCAGTGTCCTATTTTTAAGACTTAGGTAAGTTATTGATTAATCTACTGAGTTACAATAGGATAGTAATTTTTTCTTAGTTAAGTAATAACTGCATAGAAAATTGGTATTTTGAAGAAAATTGTATTGATCACTGTCTAGTCATCATTTTATTTTTATTAAAATCATTATCACTTGTTAAAATATTGGGATAGCTGAGTAGGTAAAATGGATGAATTTTCCCTCAAGAATCGATCTTTGAAATACGTCATTCTTGGAACCTATTTACGTTTATAAAAGATCTTGTATATTCCAATAGTTTAGCTGATCGACCACAAAATTAAGTGAAACTAGTTGTTACAGCGTTATGTTTTTTTTCAAATTTGTTATAATATCTTGGATCAAGACACAATAATGATTTTCAAAAGCTTCAATTAATGTATTTATAATTGAAAATATAACTGATACCTATGAAAACTTCATGTTTTTTCATAAATATATGACATAATTTCAATGTTAAAAATAGTTTTTCTGCCAAGCAAATATGTGAACAACGACTAAACATTGTGTTATAATTTGTCGTTTGAATGTTTGGTGTCTTGGCTTTTTTAATGCTACTTTTTTATATCTGGTCGTCGCTGATTGTTATATCGGAAACACTTATCACTTATACTCGGAACGAGAGACCTCTGCAATTCCCATGACGCGAAATTAAGAACACAAAGACTGGTATAATTGAAGATTTATTAGCCCCAAAATACTTTGACGACGACGAATGAAAATAGTCTAAACTACACTGGTTTATATATTGATTTTACACCCATTTTTATTAATAATTAGGATTACATCATATACTCAGTTATAACAAATCACTTACTGAGCATAGTTCATGTCAATGGAATACAAGAATATCGTATATTATACAGAAGAAAATATTATACTGTGAAAAGAAAACAAACACGACAATGAATGATCATCACAATGAATCAAAACGGAAGTAATTTTGAGCAAAATTCATAATGAGTAAATCAATCGAAAATTGATTTTTCTTTCCATCATATCACATTGAACTTTTGATGTCATTTGAAAAAAAGATTTAGAAAATAATCTAAATGTCATGAGCTATTTATGAAAATAAACCATTAAAGAAAATACCACTTTCTAAGTAATTTAAGTGCTTTACTGAGGCTACAATAACAATGAAAAAGTAACTGAGAATTTTCATGGGTATTAAAAAAAACTGAAGTGGTGAAAGGATATTTTCTAAGACAGTAAAATGGATATATCTAAAATTTTGTACAAATATGGTTTTCATAACTTTTATTCAACTATTTGCTAAATAATTTATGGTATAATCATTGCACAAGCAAGTGGCTATCAGGACTCAGTAGCTAAGTGGATAACGCGATGGCGTTTGAAGCGAACGGTACTGAGTTCGAGTCCCAGAGTGAACATCAACTCTGAGATGCAGGTACATCCAGCTGACGAGTCCCAAACAGGACGATACGCGCGTCCTCCATTCCACTGCTAGCCACTATCCATCTTTGCTTATAATGCTTGTAAATTAAGGCAATATCGAGGCATACGCACAGTATGCACATATGCCAATAAGAGACTGATCAACTTCAGTCCTAAAACATCAATGGGAAGATTCAAATAAAACAATATCAAGTGAATTGTTTTTCTATAGTTTATCTAATGTAGAATAAAAGACTAATCTGCTTAAGTAATAGATTAGAAGAACATTCTCTCCTCTCAACTCCTAAATTTATTTGTTATAATATTTTAAAGAAAATAGTTGTCAATCAATCGTTGATAAAAATAGGCTTATCGAAACACTTTTTAAAAATATATATTCACATAAACATACAAAATAGATTTGGCACATTCACTTTTTTTTTAAAAAAAGTTTTCATCTTAGACAATTTTAATCAGATTGGGGAACATTCTTGAATTTGATTGGTCAGATAAATTACATTCTGATTGGTTGTTGAAATATTCCCAATTAATAAATTACTCTTAACTTACCCATTAATAATTGATCATGATAATAATATTTAAAGATAAAACATTTAAAAGAGGGATTTTTAAAAAAAAAACAATTAAAATAAAGGTCAAATCAATTTAGTCAATAATAAGCAATTTAATAATTATCATACAATAGACATTTAATCCTTAAAAAAAGGTTACTTTAAATCACAAAAAATTATGGAAAATGTAATTGAACAGTATGATTGAAACAAATGGAACTATAAGAATTGATTTTGTAACAAAAAAAATATTGATTAACCATTACAAATGAAAATATTTTAAATTACTTGAATGATCATTTCTTGCATAAAACATACCTCATAAACTTTTATTGCTTTTCATAAGTAAAAATATGTAAGTTTGAAGAGTATGATATTTTCTTATCATTTAATAACTTTAATTGCAGTATTACATTAATTTTATTAGAAAGTTCCATTTATTCAAAGGTTATGTGATAAGTATTAAATCTGGTACACCTATATATTTGTGATGGTAACCATTAGTCGACAGTAATTCTTCAAAGAGTTTACTTTTTATAGTCGGTTGTAAGGACTGAAAAGTAGTCATATATTTATCAGAAACTTTGATATTTAAGAAAAGAATTTAAAGACATCAGAATTCACCGTAATATGTGGGTTTAACCAGGAAGAATAAAAAGTGACCATCATTTCATAGACTACTACATATTGCTGAAGTTGTCGGATAGAAATCCGTTTGTTGATTATAAATCGACGATATTATTAAATGCTGAAGGTTTTTTTTTCTAAACAGTTGACGATAATCACCCGGCTTGAAATAGTTTAAATTCAGTGAACTGTTTTCTTTTAAAAATAAGTAGTTCACTAAATCATAGAATTACACACATATTAGACAAACAAATCTGTAGGGAGAATAATTGCACAACGAAAGTTCACAATGTTCTTTTCACTTTGAAAAAGAGATAAACTCGTTTTTCTAGTAAAAAAAAAATTGTTTATTTCATTTTTGGAACAATATAATTATTGATTTTCCATAGATTATATATTCCAAATAATGAATAGAAAGCATTGATTTTCCTTCTTCATAGTATAAATACCCTAATAAGTACAATTTCTTGTAGTTATTTTATTATAGAACTGATTTTGAGTTTCTTTGTATGTTCAAGTCAAGTCAGATTTCGTATTGCTCAAATTACCATATTTAACATGAAATTGTATATTTTACATGTTTAGAATTTATCTAATAAAATAATCTATTAGAAATTATATACTGATCATTTTACTTTCATCAAATCACGTTAGTAATAAAGCATAATATTGAAAGATTGGCATAATGCAAAAACGTCAGATCAAAAACTGAACTATATGCATCATAACTGTCATATTTTAAAAAAAAAAACAACTTTTCATGCAGTAGTAACAAAACTAACTGATTCTATATATAGTTGATAGTCCATCAATAACAGCTCAAAATACAATGCATTTTATTGGATATTGAATATACATTATGTTATTGCCTGATAAGAGTAAAGCATTATTTAGTTTAAATTATTCAAATTCTGACTATTGATCAATATGAGCTTAAATATAATTTTTAATCTTTGTCTTTCCGGATCTTTGTCTTCATTCTTTGTACTGATTAATATCTGTTTCTTCTTAGTCATAATATGTAAAGATTTTATACTAATTCTAAGTTAGTTTACAACATGAATCAATATCACTAGAAAGATTGTAGGACAATAAAATGGTATAACAATAACTGATATTGATTTATGATAAAAAAGTTATTTCTAACTGTACAAATTGTAATTGATTTCAATCAAACAACTAAATAACACTGTAGAAATTTTTTATTATTACTGTATACCTCATGAAAATCTTTATATATATATATATATATATATATATATATATATATATATATATATATATATATATATATATATATATATATATTGAAGTCATCTAAACGTGATTGAGTTAAAAAGTTACTCTGAAAAAAGAGAAATTAAAAATGATCATTTCTTCTTCTTACGGTTATTTCGTTACATTATTATACCTTAATGTTTTTTTTTATTACTCACTACTTCTTTCATTTCTTTAAAATAATTGAAAATTATTAGATTAATATAAACTGAACAAGGTATCATTCGTAAGGTAATTTTGTATAAATTGAACATTGGATGAATTGTTATAAATAAATTAATTTATTTGTAGGTATCCCAATGAATAAAAAAAGTAAATTTTTTGACGTTTCGTAACTCAGTATAAGTCACTTCTTCAGAGAATAAATAACTATATTTGGTTATTTATAACTGAATAAGATACATTTATAAGAGATATCTTTGCTTACATCTATAAGATCGTTAATAGATGAATCTTTATTTCTAATTATACCGGCTAATGTTTATTGATTTTTAACATGACCAAAATAGTACAAATAGATTAGTGTGTTATCCAATATACATTCATGTAGGGAAATCAATAAAATTATAATTTTATTCAAAATATATTCAAATCGATTTTATCGTATATTATATATTTTTTATCAGTTAAATTCATGATTTGATATAAGCTAGACCACCATTGAAAATTCGGAAGCACGCTTATCTTCTGCATCACTGAGCCGGCATCCAATGATGTTAGTGAATTCACTAGTGACTGTCTTCAAGAGGTATTTCCTGGAGTTCTAATGAGAAGCCGTTACAAGTGGAGTTCAACCGTGTTTGTTGTGTAGTAGTTACTCATTGAAAACAATGATGAACGGTGGAACAATATCGTAGATTGGTTGAAGTTAGACGTTAACACCGTTAGATACCGGACCAGTGATCTAGAGATTAAGCGTTTGTTCACGAAACCAAAGCTCATGTGTTCGAATACGGCCTGCAGGGTTATGGATACACACTGCTGAGGAGTCTCGTACTAAAACGAAACTGGCGTCCAGTGCTTCCAAGTTTTCAATGAAGGTCTAGCTTACATTGACACATGCATTCAACTATTAAATTACTACAATCACCACAAAATCCTCCAATCTGGTATATTTTATGTTTTGAATTAAATACTTAATTACTAATTTTATAGTCTTCAATGTAGTTTAATGGTAAATGTAAACAAAATGATTTGATTATTTAGTAATTAGTAATGTTAGTAGATGATATCAGTTTGTTGAAATGTCTCGATTACATCATTTCAATAAATACAGAGAATTCTATGTGTTTTTTTAAAGTCATGAATTTATTTTTTAAACCGGTTCTTATTAGAGAACATTGTTTATAAAGATTAGTAATACTCAAAGATAGCTATTTATTTCATATGAACTAAAACATGAACCGACATCAGTTTTAAATGGATTATAAAATAAGCAGTTAATTTAAGACCGCTTCACACTGTACTTCCATGATCGTATGCTAGACGGAATTCAGGGACTTTATGTTTCACTAAGTTATTTTGAAAACCAAACATTTGACACATTAAATTTTATTCGATTTTTGCTATAACATCTTCATGCAGTAGCATTCATGGTTAATGGTCTTATTACTGGATAAGATAAACAACCCAATTATGCAAAGCACGGAACAATAATGATAGACTCGTCAACTCATTTTGGAAATTTCTTGCATAAGTTTTCATAAATAAACTTGAGAGAGCTGAAGTTAAAACGATTATATATATCGTGTTATAATCAATCAGAACAGTACCTATGTATCCACATATCAATAGGTTTTCACATTTATCTGACTAAAGAAAAGAATATTAAAATGAATAAATAAATTAAATACTCCAATTTTTCATAAGCAATGATCACCTCATGCGTATACATATATTTGTTTGTATTATCTTCGTAGTGCATAGATCATTAATTGTTCATAAACTATTATCATTATTTAAACACATAAACATTTGTACAAGACGGCTTCAAATACATATGCACCACACAAATTATTCGATGTGTGAGCGCTGGAATGCTGTCTGGCGCCTACACCGGAGCACGTGGTTTTCTTTAGGGGCCACTACTCGAGGCACTGATGTAAAGGCCTAATCCACAAGGTAATGGAGCAACGTTAGGAAGTGCAGTCCCATGGTGGTCGCTGACCAACAATAGATTCATATGCCATTCGTTCCCTCAGGATCCTGGAACCTATGTGCATTAGTGATTTGGAATCAGTGTTTTCCAATCCCCCTACGTGGACCCTCCATGTCCACTAACCCAGTTAGAGCACGGACATTCGCTTTTCATCCTCTCAAATTCGTAAACAACAATAGTGCGGCAGGAAAGCACTGAGTAGGACTTCTCTGACGGTGGCTGTATACGCGTAGTCATGTGAGAGGGTTTGGGGAGGGCGAGCAAGCTCTTCACACCACCGGCTGTACCAGCGCATTTAGGGGAAAAAAATTTCGATTTCAAAAAAGTTTCAATTTTCTTTTTTTGGTCAAACTAGTTAGAATATCAACAATCAGCTGACCGATATAGCTTTAAATGATACAACTACTATTTTACTATTGCAACATTAAATTTAATGAGATTTCTCACAACCGCTTTAAGAAACATGTACTCAGTAATTAACGACTTTGAGATAAATTCACTAAATTTATAGCTGTAAGTTTTGACTTGTGAAGTTATATATCAGGAGAAAGGAGCAATACCTTATCAAGGATATCAATTGTGATAAATGAAACAAATACATTAAAGTTGAAGGGAGGGTGGATTACTTGATTTTGATCAAAAGACTCAATGATATTATACTCACTGTAAAAACTGACTTTCACTATTCGCATTAAAGTCGCAGACTAGGCAACTGAATATGATTCAAAATATTGTAGACTGGCTGATGCAAATTTTGTACAACACTGGACCCAGGCTAAGTGGTTTTTAAACTAAGCGTTTTCTCACACCTACAAGGTTGCGGATGCGCAGTGCCAGAGAGTCCCATACTAAAAGAAAATGGCCGTGCATTGCTTCCAGTTTTCCACTGATTGTCCAACGTAGATAGGTTAGTGTTTGTACTGTGTCTGTATACGTCTGTTTTGTTGTACGTAAATTGTAAAATTCGTTTATTTCAGTCATTTTTCTTTATTATTAATGAATGGTTTAAAGTAACCTATTGAATTGGATTTTCATTAATCTTTGTTGACATAATGATGAAACTAGAATTGATGAACAAATCAATTATATTTAAAATAGTAGATTTTGAATTTTGGCACAAAATTCATTTTGGTTCAATAGAGTTTTAATATTAAAGCTGATGTCAATTTATGATGAAAACCCTATATCCATTTCTTAGTCCCGTAAATATTGATCCTAATTGTTCACATTGGTTTATAAACCATATTTAACTCTAGTCAGTAGGTAAATATTTTCAAGGTCATTTTAGCGTT